GTAACCATCATTGCTTAATCTGCCTTCTCTTTAGCAGCCACAAGACGCTGACTGCAAACTATAATTACCGCTTTGTGGTTGTCGGCATTCGCCAGCCACTCATATTCAAGGGACTGGGACAGACGTGAGGTCACTGTGACCCTGACTTTTGACCACCAAAATCTAATCTGTTCATCCTTGAGCTCAAGTGAATGTCTGTGACAAATTCAAAGCAATTCTCTCGGGCGTTCCTGAGATGTTGCGTTCACAAGAATGGGACGGACAAACAAAAACACACATTTACTGAAGGAAATGTGGAAAACCCCAAATATCCATCTCAAATTTATTTACAAAGTAAATAAAATTGTTTCCACATCAACGTATGATCTTAATTTCTTCTTTCGTGTTTGATGTGTCTTTAAGGTAACTGTGAAAATGCGTTTGATGGACTTGTGTTCTCACCTCGTCATATTCTTCTCCAAAGCCGATTGGTCTGGAAATGACATCGGAGATTTCCTGAGCCACTTCCTGCTGTTCTGTGATGTCCGCCATCAAATCGTCTACTTTGTCAATGTCCCTGTGAAACAGGAGACAGCGAGATAGACAACATGTAAATGCATGCATAAATACAGGAATGTCTCAGTATTTAGATCCTTTGGCCACTTACCATAGGAAAACAATAAATAAGCCATTGTTTGGTTGTTTTTAATGTTATTTGCTTCATTTTCCTATCCTTCATACAGTAACTGATAGTACTGCCAGTAAATACATGCAGAACCTCAGCTCCAACAAGGAAATAATCTAACCTGTAACTTGTTCTAAATGTTTCTCTTACATGTATTCATGTGCGGCTTTCATTGCCTTGGCAGCGAGGCCCATGTTCTTCAGCACTTCTGTGTTGGTGTTGGCGTTCTCTAGTGCCTCCCTCTGGAACTCAATGGTAGACAACGTCCCATCGATCTGAGCCAGCTGCTTCTCATAACGCTTTTTTCTCTTCAAGGCCTGTAGAGCCGCTGGACACAAAGGAAAAGGGTGAGACAAAGTTAGTTCAGGAGACAGCAACATCAGTCCATCGCTCCAGCCATGTCCACAACCATCATAGAGGAGGAAGGTGAAGTTAAACATCTGAACAGCCCTAATGCTAATGTTTGCTTTATAACAAACCACTGGGAGTGGATGGGACATTGTTGGGAGAGTTGTTTTTTTTTTTTATTTTGGGGGTGAAGTTGTGTCTAAAACATGAAGATTTAAGTGAAAGCATAAGAAAGTCATTATCAAATAGTGTAAATAGCTGAAGTCCAATAACAAGGACCAATTTTGCCACTTTGGAGACACCGTACTGATGAAGCACATTTAGTGGACTCTAAGTGAATGCAACATTTTGGGATTACATGACAAGATGCACTGAAAGTTAACCTATAAAATCATTTCTCATCCAAAGCTCTGCCTGCAGACATAACATTTTTTACCCAGGCAGTTTCAGGTTTGTCCCTTCACCTGTTTTATATCTCATCAGCCTCTTTTTGGTCTGCTCCCATCCACACTACCTGGGATAGCAAAATGTTTGAGTGGCTGAGAGGTTAGAAATGTTCACTGCCAAAAGGACATCTACGTACATGATTTGGCATTTGCCTTCTTCCATGTAACAGCCAGAAACACAAACTACAACACAGGGAATTCCCCTGACATGGAAAAACACTTCATCAAGGGAGACGGTGACTAAAACCATCTGTGGGCGGAGACCGGTGATGGAGCAATAAGTGATGAGTGTACACTACATGTGTCTGGATTGCCTTTTCATTTTATAATCAAGATGAGCAATTAAGATAGTGCAGGGGTTAGCACAAATGCCTCACAGCAAGAATGTTTCAAGTTCAAACCCAGGCCAACCTGTGGCCTTTCTATGTGGAGTTTGCAGTCTAACGACGTGCAGCTTAGGACTGGTGACTGAAATTGCCCATTGGAGTGTGTGGTTGTTTGTCTACAGTCAGTGATAGGCTGGCAACCTGTCCAGGGTGGACTATGCCTCTTGCCCAGTGTCAGCTGGGATTGGCTCCAGCGACCCTATTCTGGAATAAGTGGTATTGATAATGGATGGATGGATATTTTCAACTTGCTGCAGCCCTCTTCAGCAGCAACAGGTAACTGAAAGGATTTCTGAACTACAGAATTACTGTACCATCACAACTAATGGTGTTTTTCCATCAGCAGAGACCAGCCTTCTATAATGGTGCGGAGCCGGGCGGGCACGGTTTGGCCTCAGTTTCCATCAGTTCCTAGCAGCAGGGGTTAATTGTACTGACTCGAGCTCAGCTGGCCCTGCTTCCAGCCAGGGCTGAGCGCTGGCACATTAAGACACATGACTGACTGAAATGTTGCGCCGAGGGAATGTCCTTATATTCAGCTTTGACTTTTTATCCATAATTTCACTGCAGCAAGATTTGGGGTCTCTCACTTAGTCTTTTGATGAGGGAATTAAATGATGCTTAGCACCAAGGGCCCCATGCTGCAAGCTATAACACCACCACGAGTTACATGTTGCTTATCAGTGGCTGATGCTGCCGCCATGTGGTCAAGAAGGGGAAGATTAAGTTTTATGTTGCAGTGGAAACAATTGCACTGACTTGGAAGCAGTTCAGCACACTTCCACAGTGTACACCTCGGGTTGGCAGGGCTGATCCATGCTGATGGAAAACCACCATAAATGCCTAACCCCACACCGTCATTTGAGGTTTTGAGGACTTTCCAAAATGTCCTCACAATGATACTATCAAAGAAATGTAAATCCCCTCAACAGTATGCGGTTGTTCTGGTTTGCCAGAAGTCAGAAAGCAGCTGACAGCTTCGTGCCCGGCCCTATTCCCGGACTGATAACAATGTTACCCAGCATTACACCGGTGCTGATCAGATTATCTTGAGTGCAGAGCTGGATTCAGATCAGTTTGATTCCATGGCATTTTGTCTTTCCTGGAGTCCTGCTCTAATGACCACCAAACAACCTCAGTGCCATTACACAGCACTGTCTGTTGCCATGCACTGTAAACACCACTTGCATGGACAGTACAGTAATGTTTAGTAATTTGCCACTTCTGCGTACTGTAGTCAAAGGAAACATCAGATACACAATTTACTGTTGGAGCTGGAGGCCTGGGAAAAACCTGGGAGAGCCAGCCATCGTGCAGATGCTGTTATCGTGGAAGGTTTGTTATATCTGCTGTGAAGAAGTCATGAATTATATGTATAATTATCACCCACCTCCAAGCAGAAGTGAAGCTCAGTTACATAATGTACTATGTTGAAAATCAGGTTTAAGGTTTGGAAGCTGGTATACTGTACCACGTGATCCATGTGATACAGAACAGGACTTTAAACCTGTAGTAGATAAGCTGACAGTGGTAGCGGCCTGAGTGTTTTAATGCTATGTCTACACAGGAGGCGTTCAGGAACTCTACTGATTTTTACGTCACTCACATTTTGGAAGTGCTTAGAGTCTAATACACAATCACTGTGGTTACAAGTGTTTTACCCCTGAAATTCAGACACACTTCAGGTTGTTTACAGGCATATTAAGAGAGCTATTATGTGAGAGATGGCCATTTGGAAAACACAGATGAAATGCTTTCAGTGCTTAAAATGAGGTGGTGTACTTTACATATAACATCTGACAAAAACTACGAGAAATATATTTAAATGTAACGATCAGTGCTATCACAACCACAAAGATCGATCAGGTAAAACTCATTTATTATTATTTAGTCTCTCATATTTATATGCCTTTAGATAATAATGTAAATCTAGTCAATTATCATTTTCATGACCTGGGTAAGCAGCAGAAATTGGATGGCTAAAAGAGACATTTGAAAATGGAGCCAGATATCGTGTGAACAGACTTGTGTTCAGTTAACCTGCCTGACTGCTGCCAACTTCCCTGTTCCCTCTGGAGTTAGCCTGCGAGCTAACCAACAAACTGCACTGCGGTTTGACTTTACCGTCAATCCGTTCGTTCTGGTAGCCTTTCCTCACCTCGTTTGTTTTTCGTGCCGTTCTTCTTTGCCGTTACAAGCTCCTGGTCAATTTTCTTCTCTAAAAATTCCTGTTTTTTGGTCAACATCTCCTCCGTTTCTCTGAGTCGCTGGATAGCCTCCTGGGGTGTCGGCGCTTTTCCACCCTTACCCCCGCCGCCGAATAATTTACCAAATAACGACATTTTGTTACTAAATATAAACAATAACGGCTATATTGCCTGTACAAAAACCACCGACACTTTGTAAAACCACACAGGTAGCCGTTAAATTACTCTCTTGCCCTTTTTGTCAACTATCGTCACTGAACCTGAAACCTACTGCTGCCGCGGCTGTTGTTATTTTGTCTCTTCTTCCGCTTTTGCAGACAGGCCTCGTGATGTCATTACGTCAGCGTTATTACGTGACTCATGCTTAAAAAACCATCAGGGGGATTTTCCTGATGAGGAAATCCTGAATTATTATGGCTAATATTAGCAACCAGTTATAAAAAAATAACCAGATTCTTTTTATTATACTAATGAGAGTTGTTTTCTCCATTACATGATGAATTGTTTTGTCTGTAAATCATTTTGTACTGAATCCTGGAAGATAATAGCCTAATTGTTAATGGAATTTGTTATGTTGATTTAAATTATGTGACCTAGGCATATGTGATTTCTATGCCTGCCTAGTACATTTTTGATGTTTTTTTATGTTAATGTAATGTGATTTATAGCTAAATTATTGTGGGGTATTATATTGTAGGCTATTGTTCACCAATAATTGGGTTTAGTATCGTATTGTCACTGACTTGCAGGCTCAAGGGCAATTGCCTGTACCATCTGTGCAATGGATGAATAAATATTGAATTGGAGTGTTGTTCTACTTTTCATTACAAATTTTCCATGATCTATGCTGTCTTCAAATGTCACTTTTGTTTGTCCTACAGTCCAAAACAAGGATATTCATATTACTGCCATATGTGACAAAGAAAAGCTGCACATCCTCACATTTTGGAACAGTAAATGGACTGTATTTATATAGTGCATTTTTCCACAGTGTGTTGCTCCGGCCAAAGCGCTTTACAGGAGATGATACACCATTCACCCACAATATTCACACACCGATGACGACAGGCTGCCACACAACAGGGCTAGTCAAGCCCCCAGGAGCAATTTGGGGTTCAGTGTCTTGCTCAAGAACACTTAGGCATGTGGGGAGACCAGGAGTCAAACCACCAACTTGCAGGTCAGGAGATGACTGCCCTACCTTGTGAACCACAGCCACCCCCAAGAGGCAGGACCAGCAAATGTTTGACATTTTTGCTTTACAATTTCCTAAAAAAAAAATTCAATTAAAGACAGACACAGTCAGTGATTAGCTGAGACAACAGGGAGTTCCACTCAGTTGCAGCTGCCAAAAGGCCAGCCCAGCTCCCTTAGAAAACTATGCTTCCCATAATGCACCGTGCCAAACATTTCCAGCTGAAGATGTGAGTGGCCTGAACGCCAACCAATCAGGGCCTGAGTTGTCTGAGGAACCGGAGGGGAGGGGCCAACCTGGAGGAGAAAAAGTGTCTAGTTTGTTAAATAGATAGATAGATAGATAGATAGATAGATAGATAGATATCATACATGAATATGTTTTTCTGTAGGAGTTGCAGGTGGTGCAGCCAGGTGATGTGGAAGCTCCACCCTGACTGCTCTCTTCAGCTCTGCACTGTCCCTCTCATACTGAAATACAAACAAGACAGGAGGTTCAGCATTAGAGGGCAGTGTGTGACTGTGGCTTAAACTGGGATTGTATGTACTGTTCTTCTCTTACAGTCATCACTGAAGGATTCAGGAAAGGCCAGTGGTAGAAAGTAACTAAGTATTATTACTCAAATACTGTTCTTGAATTCAGTTCTGGCATAACTGTACTTCAATGAGTGTTTTACTTTATGCTTACATTCTATTATAATTCAGATAGAAAAACTGTGCTTTTAACAAAGCTATATTTATTTGTCTGCTGAAGTTACTAGATAGCCCACTTTTCAGATGGAGATTTAAAAACCTGTAAAGAAGATTTAAATGCATTGCATTATTATACTGTAAGTGAATCCACCCAACAGTATATAAAATGAGCAAAATTAGCTTTAACACAGGTATTTACAATGTTCAAATATAGTTTAAATATCATGGCATCAATAATAGTAATCATTTTGAATTATAATATATGCTGTCTGGCTCAATTTGTGTGTGAATATCTGTTTGTGTAAATATATATACCTCCTTGTAGACCTCGGTCAGGAAGCCCCACTTGTTGGGCCAGACTGTGGCCAAATGTTTCTCAGCTTTTACATGTGCTTTCCTACACACACATACACACAGTTTAAAACTTGAATCATGGCATCCTGCTTCACAGAGCATGGAAACCAAACTGACACTTCCACCACTTTCATAATATTTTTGAAGCCTCCTCTTTATATCTCCTTCATTTAAACCCACAGAAACCTGAAGGCCAGCAAGACTCATGGCAGCTACACTTAATTGCTAACAAAATAATAAATAACTTGTTTTTGCAAAAACTAGGCCATCTTCAAATTTGAAATAAAAATGGGCAGAAAAACTCCAAAGAAAGACTGAAAACATGCATGAAGCACACAGAGCTTTCCCCTAGGGCAGCATATTACTGCAACCATGACAAATATATTATAATGCAAACATTTTCTCAACATAAAGAAATCCTTCACACATTATAACATATGATAACAATCCCCTAACCAATATTAAGTGAGAACACCTTTTCAAATGTTCAACATTTTTCACAAATAGTGACTGAAATAAACACCACTGAACATCTATCAGAAGGTTTACCAGATTTCATCTTGATGTACAAAGTTGATGGGTTCAGATGTTCGCTTTGAATCCGCCATCTGTCCTGACTGGTGTGTGTGTGTGTGTGTGTGTGTGTCACTGTGGTTTCTTACTCTCTGTACGGCTATTGTTTCACAAGTGTGTAAGTCACACAGACCTGTTTACTGTCACCATGGAGACAGAGTTCCCTGACACACATATCTCTTCCTTTGGTGGAGATATGTGGGTAACCATGGTGATGGCGAGATGGCACCACTGGAACCACAGCTTTGTGTTTTAGTGTTGTCTGTTGCTTTGGTTGCAAAATATTTCAACACCTGTTGAATGGATTTCAGTGAAATTTGGTAGAATAACCTGATGACTCTCCACTTAGGGCTGCCAGCAGGCCAAAGTTTTCATCATCCAACAAGTTATCACCAGACTAGAAGTTTTGTATGATTAGACCTCGACCCTCAGTGACATTGATGATCTCCAGACATTTCATCTGCCTCCACCAGAAATGTCTCAACAACTACTACTGAACAGATTGTCATGAAACTTGGTACAAACTGTCATGTTTGCCTCAGGATGAATTTAAATAACTGTGGTTCATTAACATGGTCCACGCTTCCATTTGATTTGTGATCAAATACCTGCAAAACTAATGCCATTTGTCTTCACTTATATTTTGTGCTTAGTGCTAATTAGCAACTGTCATCATGCTAACATGTTAAACTGGAGAACATAGTTAATATTATCCATGGATGTATTAAAGAGAACTGGATACTATGGCAAACATTGTTCCCATTGTTCCCAAATTTTGTCATGTGGCCCACGGTTCTACTGCTCACAAATGGTAAATCAGCAGCCAAAGTCACTCAATCTGAAATCTGGGTGTTAATTTGAAAGTAGCGATCCTCTTTTTCTCCTCTAAATGATTCACTGACAATGAAGAAGTCCTGGCTTTAACTGTATTTGTATAGTTGGGTTTTTAGGATTTCAAAGAAGAAGTCAGTTTTTCTGTTTTTTCTAAAGTGGAAGTCAGTATTCATGTTTTGGATTTTTGATATGACTGAAAGTATCGTGGCTGGTCGGAGGGTGTAACAAACATATACTGTAAACACACACAGCTGAGAAAATAACACTGAAAATGCTTAATATGCCAACATTTTTTAAAATTTTGATTTTGACAGGATCTTTTTAAAAGGTTTGTCTACACACATCAAAAAAAGCTTGCTTTTGAGTTTCCATTACAGCACAAATGTTCCTGCAGACATACAACAAATACTGAGTAAAGTACATAAGCCCATGAGTTATTGTGTCATTTTGATTGTGGGGAGACAGTCTGATCATTAAACCTGGTGCTACTACGGTACACCACCCAGTATTACTACTCGAACCAGTTCTGTCACTTTTGCTAGTACAACTATTCATACTTCCAACTGTAACTCAGTACTTTTCCTTTAAAGTGTAATGGTTGCTGTCTTTGCTTACAGATTCCTTATACAGTGACTGACACACACACACACACACACACACACACACACACACACTGATCTTTCGCCATGAGGGTGAGCCCCTGTCTGTCAGCCAATAAAAAAAGGAGGCCATGCAGGTGCTGCTCACGTCACATGGCAGCCTGACAATGTTGAACCTTGAACTTACTACGTCTAGTGTAGGCCACAGGTCACCAGAAGCTGCTGCAACAGGACAGGAGGTTGCCACACCAAGGAGACACAGAGTACAATGTGTGACATTGAAGCTGTGTACATTTAATTACATTTAAGTAAAATCTTGCAGTTTTGTTTTGCAATTTTACAATTGCAACAGGTTGCTGGAAAATTTGTAGTTTTTGACTAAAAACAGGAGAGAGAGTGGGAGAAAGAGAGAGAGAGAGAGAGAGAGAGAGAAAGAGAGAGAGAGAGTGGGAGAAAGAGAGAGAGAGAGAGAGAGAGATATCCAAACTGGTCCAGAACTGTGCAGTCACACAGACATGATCGCTCTGTATGGAGACAATAGCAGTGAGAACAAAGCTGTGACCCAGTTGCCAGCTCTCCAGGTGCAGCTGGGGGGCAGAGGGAACCTACTGCATAAAGACAGTGTTAGATTCCACTACTGATTAATGATTCACAGGCAGCCGGTGACACAATGGTTCTCAGATCTGCACGTTCATGCAAACAACCCAGAGTACGAGCCTCCCTGCACTCCTCCTCCTCCTCCAGTTCCCTCCTCTTCTGGGACATCCCAGGGTATAAAATGAACAAACCCTGTTGAAAAGAAACAACAAACCAAGAGAGAGAAAGATTCTTCAACTCTCAACAGAGGCATCTCAGCTGATGAGGCCAAGCTAAAGGTTCTCTGCTCCAAACAAACTGCAAAACACAAGGTAATGTGATGCTCTTCCTTTTCATTGGGGCTTGTGTGTAACGTGAGGGGGGATATTGTCACTGCAGTGAGACAGGGATGCTGCTGTGTTACCCGCTCTGTCTGACCTGGAGCCTGAGGTTTGCTGTAACGTATCTTATGAGGAATAGAATAAATTAAGTGAAATCTAACTGCTCAAAAAGCCATTTAATTAAGGATGTATTTAAAATTGGAAGGTTTGGTTTTTGGAGAAGATTTGTGTACTATGTTGGTTTCCCCCCCTTCTTTTACCTTTCCTCTCCTTCATCATCTCCTCTTTCCTTTGGTCCACCTTTTCTCTCTCCATAACTTTCCAATCACCCTCCTCTTATAACCTTGTTTCCTTTATTGCCCTTTTACCCCTCATCTCCTTTCTTTTCCTTGCCACTATGTTGCTAACTTTTCTCCTCACCCCTAATATGCTAATTTCCTCTTCACTTCTTTCTCACCCTCTTCTAGTTTTTCTCTTCCTTTGTCATTTTTACACTCCATCCTATTCCCATTATTTCCCACCCTCTCCATGCTCACCTCTGTTGTTTCTGCATTTATCCACTCTCTCTCTCTCTCTTCAGACTACACCACCATGCCTCCTGAGCACCAGCCCCAAAACCAGATTAAGCTCAGGATCCTGCAGGGCAACCTTAGTGCCCTCAACCTGGCTGTCAGGGAGTTTGTGGAGGCCAACGTGACTCTATGCCAGCCTGACTCCCTCCATATCTGTGACGGCTCTGACGAGGAGAACCGTGCCATCCTGGCCCAGCTGGAGGAGCAGGGGGTGATCAAGAAGCTGACCAAATATGAAAACTGGTAGGCTGGCTACGGTTTAAGTTCATTTAGAATTGTGACATTTTATTAGAGGTCTGTTTTCCCATTGGAAGATGGGAGTAAGAGCTACAATGAAAAGAGTACAACCAGAGTGAAATGACACAAACGGTCACTGATGACACAGATTGACCAGTCGTGACCAGTCATATTGCATACGTCAGTCATCAGCAGCTGTTTACCAATGAAACAATGGACCTGAAAAGGTCCTGATAAACCAGCTTGTTCACATAGATACCTATGTAAATAACATTGCCTCAGGTGTAAATATACTTTGTTTGTTTTGCATGATTTTAATTGCACAATGGCCACTTGGAAATGAACTTGTTTCCAGATAACATGTTAAATTTATCCCTCTATTTTTGAAAAATTGTGCAATGGCCCCTTAAGCATGAACTTGTTTTCAGTGGAAGCAATAAAGTCATTGCTCTATTTTGAAAAGCAGTCTTATGTCTTCTTGCTCACTCCTCCACCCCTTTCTGCCTCTTCCCTCCCTCCTTCCTTCTTTCCTACCTCCATTCCATCTCTCCTTCCCCCTGCAGTTGGTTGGCCAGGACCGACCCACGGGATGTGGCTCGTGTGGAGAGCAAGACGGTGATTGTGACCCCAGATCAGAAGGACACGGTGCCCACACCACTGGGGGGTGGAGTCAGCCAGCTAGGCCGCTGGATGTCCCCAGAAGAATTCGACAAAGCCATGGTTCAGCGTTTCCCTGGCTGCATGAAAGGTGCCACAGAGAAAGATGTTTGACTCAGTGTAGCCTTAAACTCCTATCAGACACAGATGCACAAACAAAGACAGCTGGAAAACAAAAAAAATAAAAAATTCAGAAAATCCTTCATGTATTATGACTGAAAAACAACGTAAGATCTGGAAGTCTCTCACAATCATCAGTAATTATAAAGCATTATTACTCAGCTGGAAGTTTCTCACAGTCATCAGTAATTATAAAGCATTATTACTGGGCAGATCTTAATAATGTGTGCAATATGGATTTTACAAGCTTCACAGATGATAATGCATGTTTTATCCACTGTGGTGTAGTGCACAATGTCAGTAAAACCTTATAGTAACATTTAAATGTAACCATCTATCCTCAGGTCGCACCATGTATGTCATTCCCTTCAGCATGGGTCCAGTAGGTTCCCCCCTCTCTAAGATTGGAGTGGAGCTGACTGACTCTCCATATGTGGTGGCCAGTATGAGGGTGATGACCCGTATGGGGAAGACTGTCCTGTCTGCCCTGGGAAACGACGAGTTTGTCCGCTGTTTGCACTCTGTCGGCTGTCCTCTGCCACTCAGAAGTACGTTGACAGCATCAGCTTACTCTTCCTTCGTATTCACTCACATAGTATGATGCTGCTACTGCTAGGCATTACAACTCCTAAGTAACATTTTCCTGCCTCCAAACACAGTCCTGTGTCCACTGATTCAAATTCACATATTTAATGACTGTCTTTCAGAGCCCCTGGTGAACAACTGGCCCTGTAACCCTGAGCAGACGCTAATCGCTCAAATCCCAGACCGCAGGCAGATCATTTCATTTGGTAGTGGTTATGGAGGAAACTCTCTGCTGGGAAAGAAATGTTTTGCCCTGCGTATTGCCTCACGTATTGCCAAGGAGGAGGGCTGGCTGGCTGAGCATATGCTGGTAAGGAAGACAATAGAAAAATCATGAAATGTTAATTCATTCATGGATTGATTCCACACATTCATTCAAAACTCATCATGGGTATCTCCCCTGACAATGTACTCACTCTTCACAAACCAAATACTGATTTTGTTCAGATCCTGGGTATCACCAATCCTGCTGGGGAGAAGAAGTACATGGCTGCAGCCTTCCCCAGTGCCTGTGGAAAGACGAATCTGGCCATGCTGAACCCCACGCTGCCAGGCTGGAAGGTCGAGTGTGTGGGAGATGACATTGCCTGGATGAAGTTTGATGACAAAGGTGAGGGAGGAAAGTGTGTAAAGTTCCATTTGACATCAGGAACATAAAAAACATAACAATATTAACAGGAATAAAACAAACTGGTGGGAGACTTCCATCATTTCTAAATGACATTTTCCTCCTCTTTTTTGTTCCCTAGGCAACCTACGTGCCATCAACCCAGAGAACGGCTTTTTTGGTGTTGCGCCCGGCACCTCGGTCAAAACCAACCCCAACGCCATGGCGACCATAGTCAAGAACACCATCTTCACCAATGTTGGAGAGACCAGTGATGGTGGTGTGTACTGGGAGGGAATGGATCAGTCACTGCCTCAGGGAATCACCCTGACCTCCTGGAAAAACAAACCCTGGAGCTCAGAAGATGGTAAGAGAATTGAAATGTTAATTAAAAGCTCAGAAAAAAGAAGACAGACTACAAACTGTGCAGCTAAGGAACATAAACTTGAAGTGTGAGGACAGGAATGTGAGATAAAGCTAGTTCTCTTTCTCTCCCCAGGCGAACCCTGTGCCCATCCCAACTCTCGTTTCTGCACTCCAGCCGGTCAATGCCCCATCATCGATCCACTGTGGGAATCCCCAGAGGGAGTCCCCATTGAGGCCATCATATTCGGAGGGCGCAGGCCAGAAGGTGAGAGGGAACTGAAACCTGGAAACTAGAAGCAAAGTGTATAGAGACAAGTTGTAATGGGATCAAACAAGAGCAGAAGAAGAAAGAAAGGAATGAGAGAAGATGACACTAATCAAACTCCTCTTCTTTTCAGGTGTCCCCCTGGTGTATGAGGCTTTCAGCTGGCAGCATGGCGTGTTTGTCGGAGCAGCCATGAGGTCAGAGGCCACTGCTGCAGCAGAACACAAAGGTTAGTCTATGATCTTTCTGTGTTTTCTGTCAGTCTGACCAGCATTCAGTGGATTAAAAGATTTCCTCAGTCTGAGGATTATGACCTTTCAGTAATAATTATGTGATCTTGCTTGGACATAGAATAGACCTCAGTTTGTTACAGTTTTAATCTAGCAGTCAGTCTTAGCTTTATCCATAAGTGAGCAACCACCACAGAAAGATGCCAACACTGGGTTCTTAAGATTTTTAAAAAGATTGATCAGTTCCTCAGAAAATTGCAAAAAAGTTACTTAGCTATGCTCTGTCTCTTTGTTCCCTCTTCTTTCCTCCAGGCAAAGTAATTATGCATGACCCGTTTGCCATGCGCCCCTTCTTTGGCTACAACTTTGGGCAGTACCTCTCTCACTGGCTCAGCATGGCCAATCACCCTGGTGCCAAGCTCCCCAAGATCTTCCATGTCAACTGGTTCCGCAAGAGCCCCACAGCCGGCTTCCTCTGGCCTGGTTTTGGTGACAACATCCGTGTTCTTGACTGGATGTTCAGGCGTGTGAACGGCGAGGATGGCGCCGTGCCCTCCACCGTGGGCTACCTGCCCTGCCACAACTCCCTGAACCTCCAGGGCCTGCAGTTTCACGTGGACCTGGGAGAGCTGTTCTCCCTGGATCAGAAGTTCTGGCAGAGGGAGGTGGAAGAGGTGAGGAAGTACCTCACTACACAAGTGAATGATGACCTGCCCAAAGAGGTGGCCAGGCAGCTGGAGCTCCTGCAGCAACGAGTGAAACAGATGTGAAGATTAAAAAAGAGGGAAAGAACCATGTTATCAATTCTCAGTGAGCAAGCTGGTAATGTAGACCAGCTTGTTAATATTTGTGGAAGAGAATCATAATCATTTTGAGAAACTGCTGTAAATTCTAGAGCAGAATGCAAATAATTCTACAAGACCTTGTTAGTCATTTACTGGGGGACTCAAATTTGTCATCAGTGATGACCTTATTTCCTTGGCATGGGGTTTTAATGAAAGTAATGCTGTACTTGGTTTATTTACTGGCTAGATATCACCTCCTGTTTGTAGATTATTTTTCAGAAAATGTTTGTTAAAACAATGGTGACGTGAACTCTCAGGAATCTCTCTAAGCCAATTTAAAGAACATTCCTCACCGTGATTGGATATGGCACTAAGAACTAGAATTTTGTTTTATCCATTCATACTGTATGTGTTTGGGTGTTTTAAACTGTTCTTTGCATGTATTGTCATTTGTCTGAACTCTACTATTTAATACTAACTTATTATGAATGTACATCATATTGTCATCGTCATATGGACTCACAGAAAGAATAACTCAGTCCAGGTTGGCTGAGCTCCAGTGCTGTTTGACGCCCCACACATGGGGAAATGTGGGTTTTCTGTCTCTGTCATTATTTGTAGGCTTCATTTATATTTATATTGTGTTGATATCCACTAGTTCTGTTTTACTGTAATCCTAAATCCTCAAAGAGGGAGGCAACAATAAACTTAAGGATTTTTTTTCATTTGTCAAGAATTTTGTTGTTATTCAAACTGTGCTGTCATTAGAGCAACACAGCACAAACCAAACAAAATTTAAACTAAATTTAAAACTATATTAAAGAGCGGATGGCTGCTCATTTCACTCATTACCAGCCATTTAATGTTTCATCTTTGGTACCTCTAGATTTTCTTTGCACCCATCATAACTCTAAGTTGCCTGTAATTATTTCAAAACAATAAATCCCCAAATCACAAGGACAGCCTCCTCCTGAAAATCAGAGGATAGTTCACGAACATGCACAATTCCTGTTGCTGGCCATCAAGCTATAACAACACATAAACAAAAAATTTGGCAAATTAGCTTCATTTTTGACAATTACAATACCTCAAATCCTACCTGATGTGTTGGAGCCAGAATGCAAAACTGATCCATTTTTCAGTTTTGCATTGCATATTGTCACATTTTTGAATCATGATATATTGTTTCACGATGCATTGGTCCACACCTACTTCTAACACATCTTTGACATAAACCAGGTTTTCACTGGAGTCCATCCATCCATTTTCCTCCGCTTATCCGCAACCAGGTCATGGGGGCAGCAGTCTAAGCAAAGATGCCCAGACTTCCCTCTCTCCAGACACTTCCTCCAGCTCCTCCGGGGGAATGCCGCGGCGTTCCCAGGCCAGCCGAGAGACATAGTCCCTCCAGCGTGTCTGGGTCTTCCCCGGGGCCTCCTCCCGGTGGGACATGCCCGGAACACCTCCCTAGGAAGGCGCCCAGGAGGCATCTGAAACAGATGCCCGAGCCACCTCAGCTGGCTCCTCTCGATGTGGAGGAGCAGCAGTTCTACTCTG